GGTTGAGGCTGAACCCGGACAAGATGGAGGTCTTGAGGTTGGGTGGCCCTTCCATTAGCGGTATAGGTGACTCCCTTTCTTTTGGGGGGACGACCCTTGCCGCAAAGAGTAAGGCCCGCAGCTTGGGGATACATCTGGACCCAACGCTTACCATGGAACCCAGGTGGTGTCCGTGGTCCACTCTGCCTATTTTTCATCTGTGGCCGATTGCCCAGCTGCGACCATATCTTGATGGGAGGGCCCTCACTACTCTAGTCCACGCGCTCGTAATCTTGAGATTAGACCATTGTAATGCACTCTACGTGGGGCTGCCTTTGAGGTTGATGCGAAAACTTCAGGTGGTCCAGAATGCGGCAGCCAGGCTTCTTAGTGGGGTGAGAAAATATCAGCATATCTCCCCCACCCTGACTACCTTGCACTGGTTGCCCGTCCGTTTCCACATTGACTTCAAAGTGTTAATGATTACATATAAAGCCCCAAACGGTTTGATACCTCAATATTTGGCAGATCATCTTCTTCTACCTAGATCTACCCGAATCACCCGATATAGCCAGCAGGGACAGTTGAGGGGCCTGACACCCAAGGAGGCCCAGAAGGAAAAAACAAGAAACCGGGCCTTCTTGGCGGTGGCCCCTCGGTTGTGGAACAATCTCCCACCTGAAATTCGGCTGGCACCCTCGTGGTCCCTGGGTTGTGGAACACTCTCCCACCTGAAATTCGGCTGGCACCCTCGCTGGGTGTCTTCAAAAGCCAGTTAAAAACTTGGCTATTCAAGCAGGACTTCCCTCCAGTCAATTAAGTGATTTCTATTTTTTTCTTTTTTTCCATCTTGATAATGTATTGTTTGGAATTAATCACTATAATTGTATTCTTTATGATTTTATATATGGGTTGTGGAACACTCTCCCACCTGAAATTCGGCTGGCACCCTCGCTGGGTGTCTTCAAAAGCCAGTTAAAAACTTGGCTATTCAAGCAGGACTTCCCTCCAGTCAATTAAGTGATTTCTATTTTTTTCTTTTTTTCCATCTTGATAATGTATTGTTTGGAATTAATCACTATAATTGTATTCTTTATGATTTTATATATGTTATATTGATGTGTTTTTATATATGCAAGCTAGAGGGGCGGGGCAAAAATCAGATAGATAGATAGATAGATAGATAGATAGATAGATAGATAGATAGATAGATAGATAGATAGATAGATAGATAGATAGATAGATAGATAGATAGATAGATAGATAGATAGATAGGCTGAGAGCGTGGTTATGTTATGAAAACGCTTTGAGTAATGAATTGGGGGTTTTGAATTTGATTTAAAGTCATATGATAATCATATGCTTTTTGGAATGGTGTGTGCATCATCTTGGGAAAACTTTTAATCTGTTTTTTAAAAGTGCTCTATATTGGTTGAAGGGACTACACAGGCTTTTAGAATCACTGCATTTGAGTCTTTGTCCCTGCGCCCGCCCACTGGCTGCCTCTCACTGCCACTCACCACCGCTGCTGTGGTGTTATTTTTAATACAGTGGTGCCTCGCATAACAAGCGCACCGTACAACGACGAATTCGCATAGCGATCCCTTTTTTGGGATCGCTAATGCAAAGGCATACCGGCAGCCCCAATGGGCAAAACTCGCATTGCGAAGATCGGTAAGCGTTTCGCTTACCGATCTTCGCATTGCGATGTCGGGAAATCAGCTGATTGGCAGCTCCAAAATGGCCACCACGCGACCCAAAATGGCTGTGCACAGTGTTTTTGTGCCCTGCCCTCGCTTACCGAGGGCGCGAAAATGGCTGCCGGATGGGGGAAACTTCACTAAACGGTGAGTACAGAAGCCATTGGAACGCATTAAACTAAGTTTAATGCCTTCCAATGGCATTTTCCGTTCCGTTTAGCGATGTTTCCCCATAGCGACGGTTAATCCGGAACGGATTAACCTCGCTATGCGGGGCACCACTGTATTTGCATTAATTTTTGTATTTCTTTCAAAATGAGATAGTACTAGATCAGTATTACAGAGACGGGAAAAAATAAAAGAAATTGGACTTTAAGGTTTCTCTGCAGCCCAAGTCCTGTGATCCTGACATCCATTACTTATTAACCTCACAGACACAATTTACACCAACAGAGGCATTCACATACAGTCGTGCCCGCTGTACGATTACCCCGTTTAACGACCAATTCGCTTAACGTTGAAGTTTTTGCGATCACAAAAGCGATTGGAAAACACTGTTTAGAATGGGTTTTTTCACTTCACGCTGATTGGTTCCCTGTTTCAGGAACCGATTTTTCAGGTTTCAGAATGGCCACCGGCTTTCAAAATGGCCCCCCGCTGTTTTCTAGCATGGATTCCTCGCTATACAGGCACCGAAAATGGCTGCCGTATGGAGGATCTTCGCTGGATGAGCAGGTATTCAGCCCATTGGAACGCATTGAACGGTTTTCAATGCGTTTCAATAGGTTTTTAAATTTTGTTTGACGACGTTTTCGCTCTACAGCGATTTCGCAGGAATGAATTAACGTCATCAAGCGAGGCACCACTGTATGCCAAAATCATCCAAAATAAATGGATTCCTCAAGCAGTTTAAAATAAATGGCCAAGTGAAATATGTCATTATGCAACCAAAACTCCACACTTACCAAGCAAAAAAAAATCTGTGGTCCCTTGTGAGTCATGCAGTTGGAATTCTTTAAATTGATTTCAAACACACTAAACCTGATTTTTAAAGGTTTTTTTCCCAATATGTAACAACACTCTCAGAAAGTGTTTTCTGTCTTTGATTTTGTGTATGTGTGTGTGTGTGTGTCTGTGTAGCAGAAGATTTTGCTCATGGGTCTCATTTGTAATTGTTTGTGTATTGCACCTGAGATAACAGTGTATTGACCCCTTAGAAAGAAATATGTATCTATGCGTGCCCAAAGAAATGGGGGGGGGGGAGTCCTATATGAACAATAGTAGAGGAAAGCAGTTGCCTCAGATGGCAGATGCTGGGGACAGTGGCAGTATCTCCTTGGTTATTCCTCTTGAACCTTGCAACCAGTTCCCTTGGTCAGAGTTTAGAGTTGTACTTTGTACACTCTACTATAGCCTGACCTGGGGTCCCTGACCTTGTCGACTGGTCTCAGGTTCAGTGCAAGAAGACTTTGTGGTTTTTTTGCTTAAAGACGCCTGACACCCTGGTTCATATACTGTTTCAATGCCCTGCTCATTCCCACCTCCGAAATTTTTTTCTTGAACCTTGGGTCTCTTCCAATTCTTCTGTGTCAATTCTTTCTATTTTCATGAGTGATGAATGTAATGCCCTGACCACTGCTGTTGCAGGTTTCTTATCTGCAATTTTGAAATTGTCCCCTGCTTCTCGTTCCTAATTTGTGAAATCTGTGTAATTTCACTTTTCCTATTTTGCTTGTGTTGTTGTAACTTGTAAATGCCAGTAAAGGTTTCAGAACACACACAAGAAGATGCTATTTCATCAAAAGTATTCAAGCAAGGTTCAAATGCTAGTCAAGTCAGTTTCTGTACCTGGAACAGGGAAGAGTTACCATCTTCTTCTTCTTGCTTCAGGTGGTAAAATGTCTTGGGCCAGCAGCCCTGCTGAAGAACAGAGTAGTGAGTTCCACTGCAGTGAGAGACTGTTCTGTCATCCACTATGGCATGGTTGACGATGTGACTTTGGACCTCTCTCTCACACACAGTGTGATTTACCTCAAAGAGTTGTTGTGCGGATAAAGTGAGGAGGATAAAAGCCATGTCCACAAAATTTAGTTCTTTGGTGGCAAGGTCAGCTATATAAATAATACTAAAATACTAATGTTTATAACACAAGCAACAGTGTGACATAAATACAACTCAAGCAATATGTGTAGAATAAGGCCTACAAGAGACGTTCACATTTCCATGTCAGAAACAGAAAAGTTCCAATATTCTTCCAAGTGCCTTAAAAGAACGCTGCTAACGGTTGCCAGCTCTGTTCTAGAAAGCAGTAACCGAGACTTGGTTTCCTCCGGGTAGCCTTTCAAGTTCTCGCTTTCTTGTCCTTCTCCCTCACAGATGACTGCCACAGCGCAACAGCCGGCTAAAGCACAGCCAGTTCACATCACCCCACCCTCAGCAGCAGCCAACACGCCTCTCCCCAGCACTCCCATCGACCCTCAGGCACAGCTGGAAGCTGACAAGCGTGCTGTCTACAGGTACAGAAGGATTTTGCTCCAAGGCTGCTGTCTTTAATGTTGCTCCCCATCCCTGTTGTTGCATGTTGAAATATTACTGGAATTTGGCCCGGGGCTAACTTGTCACTAAGAAGCTGTTTCTTGACTGGCTTTGTCAATAGGCAGGTTCCAGTGCACATTCAGGGAGGTGAGCCTCAAGCTGAGGATTTGAAGAGATTTGTTTCCTTTAGAGAGGAAGGTCTATTGCAAGCAACAGCATGAGGCGGTATTCATGGATGCTATTGTCGATGAAAGATATTAGGAATTTTTCTCTGCAGTCTTTTTCTTTCTTTCTTTTCTTTTTCTATTTTGGCAATATATATTTGAATCCCAGTTGCTGCACATAGTCCTAATGCTGGACTTTCTGTCTTCAACATTTACCCGTGGCTCAAAATTAGGGTTGACTATGATATGAAGAAATCTCAGTCAATGAGCTGCATGACTTGTACTCGGCTGAATATGCATATGTTTGCATGAGTCAGTTAATCATACTTTAGCTGTTTTGTGCATGTTGCAGCAGATGCCACCTTTTAAAAGAGCACTTCCTATATGAAAAGGGAATGCATCTCCTAAAATAGCCCCAGATATTGTAGATTTTCTTAATTCCTGTATCACAGTATTTTACAAGATTTCTAAACAAACAAAACAAAAAAAGCTGCTGATCAATAGAACAGGGACATTTCTTTCAGTTAAGTATCGTGCAATCTGTTGGTCTTGTTTACTTCTTTACATGTTTTAAATGTCAAGTTCTTTCCACCAATTGGTGGAAACTTATAAATCTTTGCAAATTCTTGTGAAAACAAAATGGAATGGAATTCTCCCTTAACTGCAATGGCGTAATTTGATATCTGCCTATCAGCCGCTCAGACTGGTAGAACATACCAGATGGGCGGGATATAAATCAAATAAATAAATAAATTATGGCTGATAAAAATTAGAAGTCTGTCAGCAAAAGGCATAATTCGGAATCCCAAACATGGCTGAACACATTCAAGAGCAAAACACTCTAAAGCTCTGCCTGGATGAATGAAGCTGTGACAGTTTCATCCATCTGGATTGCCCCGATGTCTGCTCTGTCAGCTGACTGTATGCCAACTGTTGCTGGGCAATGTCCAGCAGTGGTAACGTTCCTCAGATGTTGTCAGGGTCCAGTTCCCTAAAGCTCCAAATAGCTTTGCTGATGTGAGCAATCATAAGAGGTGTCATTTATCAATACATAGTGGACCACAGCAGATTCTTCAACCCTAGATTCTACTGTCCTGAAGGATATGGCTGGCTGGAACCTTAAACACCTTTAGGTGATGGGTTGAGGATAAACTGCAATATTTTGTTGCAGGTCCATCTTGTTTATATCTAAAAGGATGCTCAGAAGAAAACATAGTAATTTTTAAAAGGTCCTTGGAATTATGGTGGTATTTGCTCCAGCTTTATTGTAAACAATAGATATTTCAGGCATTGCCCTTTGCTGGCCATTAAGCGGTTTGGGGGGTTAGTGCCCTATAGCACTTTAGAAAGGCAAGCAGCAAAGTACCCATTATTCCTCAAAAGCATTTGAAAGTATTTATTTGCCTACATGTGGGAGCATAGATACAGTAGGACTATGGTATGCACAGGGGATCGGTCCTAAGCTCACCTCTGCGGATGCTGAGAACCGTGTATAGCCAACTCTCTATATTTCATAGTCTCTGGTTTCCTTTAGTGGTCAGTTCGGATAATATGCCTTGGAAATGTGTGTTTCTGGGTTGTGGTTTTTAAAAATTATTTTAAGGCAGAGGATAAGTGAAACCGCAGGTACTGATTTCACAGATACGGCGGCCCTACTGTATTAGGCAGGGCACTTAGGGCTTTGTCTCAGGGCACCAACATTTAGAGGCCACCAAAACTGAGAGGGCAGAACCTTTCTCATGATTTTAGGGGATACCATGTTTCCTTCCCCTCCTTTTCTTGGGGACGTTCATGCTTCAGTGGCCTCTTGTCTCATGTGCTAGAATTGCTGGTTATAGCTCTGATTCCAGAAATAACCTGCTGAAGCAACATTTGGAGAAGACCCTGGCCCTTCTTGACACAGCCTTTTGGCTTGTAGTGCCACACCACTTCCATTTTATTTATTTATTTATTTTAAATAGCTTTATCCTACCTTCCTCCTTAAAAAGGACCCAAGGTGGCTTTGCAAGCAAAGACAACAAAGGGACCCTCTTTCACAGACACAGAGGGTCCTCTGTGGACGGTGCAACTCTCAGTGAAATTCAGACCAACCAGTCAAGAGCCTTCAGCCAGGAGACCACCCATAGTTTCACTTGTTTAACCTAAGCCTGAGTGACAGGGATGGGAGAATCTTATTGTCTCTACATAACAAGATTTGGGTTGTGGTGCATCTTTGGAAAGGAGAAGGAGACTAGGTGCTTCCCAGAGCAAAACATGAAAAAATTACTTATTTGTACTACAGCTTTCAGAAAGTAGTTGGGAGCTGTAGTCTGAAGAATGGACTTTTTGAACCTCTGGCTGAAATCCAGATGGTAGTTCCATCTACAGTAAATCTATGGAATTGATAGGATTTATGTGTTTTCTTACATTCAGCCTTTGATCTAGTGGGTCTATTTTAGCTGAGACTACTGACGTTAGGCATCTGTCACATGGTCATTGGTATCCTTGCTCACACAGCCTTAAACAGCCAGTATCTGCTGCAGTGCTTTCAGCATGCTGACATTCTTGTTGGGAATTTACGACTTCGACTTTAAATACTATCAAAAATTCCTCTGTATATGAGCTTTATGAGTGAGGCAGCCTGGATTCTGGAATCTTTTGTGCTGTGTTGATTTCACAATTTTAATAGCGTGCATTAGCAGATTTATGTTTTGTATATGCAAGAGAGGAGTTAAAAGACAAGGAAACAGAAGCTTTTATGCAGCATAGAACAGAGGGAAGAGGCAGGGAGAGTGTTTGAATTGCAGCCTTGTATATCACACTGAGTGCCTAGAGGATTTTTTTTAATTAAAATTTCTTGCCTCTGGGTAGCATGACAGTTCAAAATCGCATTGGGGATTTTTCATTTCATGTCAATAAATTTAACAAGGCCCCATTCAATTCAAATTAATGCTTAAGCTGTAGCTTTTATGCTCTTCTCTCAGAGAGCATGGATAAAAAGAAGAAAATATACGTGGTACTTAATTTGCACTCCTGCGCCTGCATGCAGCTATGCCAAAGCCCAGCCTAAGCGTTTTGAGCTATGGTTTTCCTGAGCTGAAAGATAGTGCCAAGCGGAGAACAGAGAAAGGTGTGTGATACCCAGCTAGCTTATATCTGTGCGGATTGAAATGTTAATAGGGAGCATCTCTTTACCCCCCAGTCTGAAATGTGGGAATGAAGTGCCTGATTCTAATTGGATCATGGGGGAGTTTCTCTTTTGCCAGCTGGATGCACAATACAGTTCTGAACAGCCTCTCTGTAAAATTGGTAAGCAAATGTGCTTACTTTCTTCTCTCCCCTTCCTTTTCCCTTGTAAGTCTGTGAGCAGGGCTTGTACTGTTGTTTTTAATTTTTTTAAATCTGGTGTCTCGCTATGCGAAAGGCTTTATTAAATCATCAGCCTACGTTTTGAGTTATTTCGACACGCTGTGTGTTTCCTGAACCCACAGAGAATTTCATTATCCATCCTGAATGGGGTCAACCCTGCTGACATTATAACTTGCCAAAAAAACAGCACCAGACTTTATTCTGTCCCAATATATGACATTGATTGGGATAAGAAGTACCCCAGTGTGGAAGTGCAATCGATAGAGGAAGGGGGAGAATGTATTTCTCTTACCTTTTTTTTTTTGTCTTTAAAAACCAAACAGACTGTAGATGGTAAGTGGCTAAAAACTCAAGGACTTTTTTTAGAACAACAGTTCACATAACAATGCTGTAAAATGCTTATCTGGTAGGTCCTGCTCTCTGTGAATTCTGCAACAAAACATAAGTATGTGGGAGTAAAATGACCTGTTCAGATGAATGAGGGTTAAAGAATACAGACTGATCTAAACGGATGGGAAATGCAGATGTACATTTGTTTTAGTTTATTCTCTTTTTTCTTTTCTTTTTTAAAAAATAATTATTCTGAAGCTCTCTGTGTATTTCTCTCCCACCTAGGGGAAGAGATGCCTGAAGTCTAAGAGAAAGACCAACAAAACTCAGTTGTATCTCACCTTATTTCCATCTCCTCATGCCACTTACTCAGCTGGCCTTTGATCCTCTTCCACCCTCTTCTCCCTTTCCCATCTGAAATGCATTAGTTGCCATGGAAATGGTACAGGGAGAGCCCATACAATTCCCAAATGCAAAGTAAAGTCAGTTTAATCACTGGTGTCTCGGGCTGGAAAGTGCTCTGGATTACTTAAGACCATTACAGGTGCTTGTGCTCAATTTGTGTACTCCCAAAGATGGGCACCATAGGTATATTTGTGTGTAGCATCTCTGAGTCAGCTTAGAATGAGAAAAGATACGTGGCACAGGGCAAGGTAACTATGAATTGGAGTATAGGGGGAGCCTTAAGTACAGCGAAGCACTCACCATGTTATTCCTTCATCTTTGCGGGTCTGAGTCGAAACTCAGGGAATGGCCAATTGGGAACTAGAAACCTGAACGTCAAACAAACTGATACAAGAGGAAGTAGTGATTCTGGAAAGAATTTCATTGAGAGCCAATGTTATATTCTAGAGAATTGGATCAGAACTTGTGATCTAGTCCCTGGCGGATTCTAGCCCCCGACTGAGCCATGAAACACAGGAGGTAATTGCAGCCAGTCACTGTTTGTCAGCCTGATAATGCCTCATAAGACTGTTGCGGGGACAACACACAGTGCAGGAAAGCTGTGAATGCTACTGTGACAACCCCAGACCTACTGGAGGATGCCACACTTTCACTAAGCTGCCACCAACCATTCCCTGTAAGGAGTCACACAGACCAGGAATGGATTTTTAACAAATAAAAGAACAAGGTTTATT